CCCCTCTCCAGAGGTCGTCACGTCCTCGTGAGTGACCTCATCTATTCTTTCAAAATAGGGTTTGAGTCTTGAGACATGGACAATCAATGGGTCTTGGCCAGGATTATCTTTCGGCTCAATTAAGTAATTTACGTTGGACAGCTTCTTTAATATTCGATATGGCCCAAAATATTTTCTCAATAGTTTTTCACATTTTCCGATTTTCCTGACTGGTGTCCAAACTGCCACTAAATGTCCTGGTTCATAGATTCTCTCGTTGTGTTTTTTGTCATAGTTTCTTTTCATTCTTTCCTGAGTCTTCTCTGTGTTGTTAATGACTACCTGTCTCGTCCTTGCTATTTTATCTAAGTAGTTTTCTATATATTCGTCGTAATCGTCCATGTTACTGTCCGTTGGGATATTCTCGTCGTCTAAGAGGGACATGGGTTCCCTCCCAAACAACAGGAAAAATGGAGAGTAGCCTGTGGTTTCTTGAATTGTGGTATTATATGCGTGGGTGATAAAAGGAAGGATTTCGTCCCAGTTCTTCTGATCCGTATTCACATACATGCTGATCATATTGATTAAAGTTCTATTTAGCCGTTCCGTTAGTCCGTTAGTCTGGGGGTGGTAGCTCGTTGTGAAGCAATGTTTAACTTTGCACATTTTCATAACCTCCTTCATCAAATTGCTAGTGAATTGTGAACCTCTGTCGCTGATAAGAAATCTTGGAGCCCCGTGACGTAAAAATATATGTTCGATTAAAAATGTAGAGACTTCTTTCACTGTCGCTTCTGGTACTGCCTTTGTTTCAGCATACTTTGTATAATAATCCGTCAACACAATGATCCATTTCCTTCTTCTTTTCGTTGATGGCAAGGGGCCAACAAAGTCAATTCCGATTCTTTCAAAAGGGTAGTTAGCTGGGGGAATAGGTTGTAGAAGTCCAGATGGCAACTGATTTGAACCTTTCCGACTTTGGCAAAGATGGCACGTCTTTACAAATTCGGAAACATCTTTCAGCATGGAAGGCCAATAGTATTTATTCTTCAATCGGTATGTGGTTCTGGCGACGCCCAGATGGCCATTCAGCATATGGTTGTGGTATTCACTCATGATTTCTTTCCTTCTCTTCTTTGGCACTACCAGCAACCATTCTCTACCTTCAGGATTTGGATTTTTCTTGTAGAGACACCCATTTTCTTCTTTAAAGTTCTGTGTAATTGAACGCTTGTTTCCACTAAGGTTCTCCTTAATATTCTCAATAAAATCATCCTTTTTGTATATTATTTGATTCAAAAATAGTCTTTCATAATTCTCGTCCCATTCGTTTTCTGGTAAGGGTCCTCTAGATAGACCATCAGCGTCCAGATGTTTTTTTCCCGATTTGTGTATAATTTCGAAATTATATTCCTGAATCTTCAGTGCCCATCGTGCTAATCGACCGGTCGGATCTTTTAAATTCTTAAGCCAGCATAGTGCGTGATGATCAGTGACGATTTTAAAGTGCCTTCCATATAAATAGGGCCGTAATTTTGATATCGACCACACTACAGCTAAACATTCCTTTTCGGTGGTTGAATAATTTTGCTCAGGTTTACTTAGGGTTCGGCTCAAATATGATATTACCTTCTCTTCGCCACCGATATTTTGAATTAGTGTTGCGCCTAAGCCGATGTTAGAGGCATCTGTGTGAATGCAGGTGGCTGCATTTGGATCAAAGTGACCTAAAATTGGCGGATTCATAAGAGCTTTTTTAAGGTTTTGGAACGCTTCTTCCTGTTTTCCTGTCCAGATAAATTGCACATTTTTTCTGATGAGACTGGTCAATGGGTCAGCGATTAATGAGAAATCTTTAATAAATTTTCTATAATATGAGCACATTCCTAGGAATGATTGCACTTCTTTGGCCTTCTTGGGCTGAGGAAAATCTCTAACGGCTTTGATATTATATTCGGCAGGTTTTATACCCTCTTGGTTGGTTATATGTCCAAGGATCTCAAGTTCCTCGAAAGCAAATCTGCATTTCTTGGCGTTCAGTTTTAAATTAGATTCGCTGAAGCATCTGAGGACAGCTTCAAGTCTTTTAATGTGGGTTGAAAAGTCCGAGCTGTATATAATTACATCGTCCAGGTAGCAAAGGCAAATCTGCCATCTCAGATTTCCGAGGACATTGTCCATGTTCCTCTCAAAAGTAGCAGGGGCGTTGCATAGACCGAAGGGCATTACGTTGAATTCATATAACCCATGTGCAGTAGTGAAAGCCGTCTTCTCTTTGTCTCTCTCTTCAATTTCGACTTGCCAATATCCCGATTTGAGATCTATTGCTGAGAAGTACTTGGATCCTTGGAGAGTATCCATTACATCATCAATTCTTGGGATTGGATAAACATCCTTCACTGTTACTTCATTTAATTTCCTGTAGTCCACACAAAATCTGTATTTGCCATCTCGTTTTTTGACCAATATAACGGGAAAGGACCAGGGACTTGAAGATTGTCTAATTATTCCTTCTTCGAGCATCTCGTCTATTTGATCCTTTATGATGGTTCGTTCCTTAGCGCTTACCCGGTAAGGCTTGTGCTTTATTGGTTTTGCGTCTTCTGTATGAATCTGATGTTTTGCCAAACTGGTCCTACCTAACCTCGATGAGAACAAATCAGTATACTTGGCCAAAATTTGTTTTAACCTCTCTTGTTCTTTAAATGATAAATTTTTGTTTATTTGAAATTGTATTTCGTCATTTTCATTCTGCTTCTCTTTATTCTCTATAAAATTTACCCCTGCAGGAAGACTTCCATAAGCCAATGTTTGGTCTTTCATGATTTTTAAAGGTCGAGGATAAGGGTTCGTTATCCATATATGGGTTTTCTTATCCGTGACAGTAAGCAAACTTCTTGCCAATCGAAGACCATTTGTTTGAGTCATTCTGTTGTTCTCTTCGATGACATATTCGCCATCCTCTGCTTCTATTGAGGCCCTAATCAATTTAATAGATAGTTTAGGTATAACGGTATCTGTAGTGCTCTTTATTTTTTTTTAGATCATAATTGCTTACGTCATGATTACTCATCAAATTATATTTTATTGTTTCTCGTTTACAATCAATTTTAGCATTCATTTTTTTAAGGAAATCTCGTCCAAGAATAAGAGTTCGTAGATGCGCGTCCATTACTACAAATTCGTGGGATAATTCAGTGTCATCAATTTTTAAATCTAAAATAATGCTACCTACCATATCTAATTTTTTTCCATCGGGTCCTGAACACGTTTTAGTGAGACTATTTATTTCACGGCCAGCAAAAAGTGCTGTTCTTAGGTCGACCACTGAAAGATCGGCGCCTGTATCAATCAAAGCTTCGCATAACCCTATCTTGTCCACATTAATATTAATTTTGTACCTAGGGTCCAACTTTCTAATTCCATTTATGGTCGACTTGCTTTGATTGAAGGAATCAGGCGCGACACTTAGTTTAAATCTTCCAACACGGAATATCTATTCCGTGTAGGAATATTGATTTGTGTGTCATTACAAACATCCGCATAGAGGCGAGGCCGTGTATAATCTTTCCTTTCGTCCATTTGAAGATTTTCTTGGCTCTTGTCTTGGGAAACTGAAGGGTCCTCTTCTACGATCCTCACAAACTTGACTCTGCAATACCGCGCTACATGTCCTGGCTTGTTACACTTGAAACATATTGGTCTCCCGTCTTCTGTCCTATTCCTGTTTGAATCTGGACTCTTATTGTAGGTTTTCCTTGGGTAGACCGGTTTTGGCTCAGGAATGGGAGTGTAAAATCGCCTAGGGGCAGATACCAGGGGCAGCGGCTTGTTCTGGTAGTACCTCGGAGCGGGGGCCTGGGGCTTGGGGGTGTTCTGGTAGTACCTCGGAGCGGGGGCCTGGGGCTTGGAGGTGTTCTGGTCTGGTCTTCTGAACGACGGAGCGTTCTTCCATTGCTCTTGATGGTGGGAACGAGGAGAGCGTGGTCCATTATATAGAACCTTTGATTTTTCTATACGTTCTTGATAATTATTTTCAAACAAATCCATCTTTTTACACAATCTTAGGAGTTCGTTGGTATTCTTAGGAGGGTTTAAGTAGAGGGCAAAAGAGTATTCTTTCTTTAACCCACCAATAACCCAATTTATTTTATTCTCTTCTTCCATTTGGGGGTCAACCTTGTTGCACAGAACCAGGATATCCTCTGCAAACCTGATTGCAGGTTCATTCCACTGCTGCATTCTGTTCAGCCTCATCTTCAATTCTTCTTTGTTGGCGTCTGAGCCAAAATCCTGAATTAGGCGGCTCTTGAAATGTTCCCAGCTGGTAAAGCTTATCTTGTGTAGGTCCAGCCAGGTTTTGGCGCTACCAATCATGTTCATGGCTGCATAGCGAGAAATAATATATTCTGTCCAGTGGTACAGGAAGCCAATTTCTTCAAGGGACTCAATCCATGGGCGAGGGTCTTCTGTTCCATCATATTTGGGGATGTCTATGTTGGGGTTCAAAACAACTGGGTCGGCACTTGCATCTCCACCAATTGTTGCACTGGGCTGCGGTTTGGCAGATTCTTCAGTCTTGAGTCTCTCCTCAGACGTGTCTTGCATCTTTCCAGAACGTGTCTCAACCATCTTACAAGGTTAAACCAGTCAATAATAAGACAACTATAAATTTAGGTAGCACCTAGAATCTCTCCTTATTTACCACATCAAAGTTTAAAGCATGTAGGGTATTTAGTGTATCAAAATACAAATGTTTTATAGTACATAATATTTTATATTAATAATCTGTTTTATAAAAATAAATAAATTTATAATTTAAATTTTAAATATATTAAAAATAATATTATAAATAATTTTAAAAATAGGCGCATTAATCATGATGCAACAATATATACATGTATAATTTTGATAGGAGAATTTTTTCTTGTTTTAATACAAGAGTATTTCACCAATGATATACAATCGTGAACACTTTTGTAAAAATACTAAAGAATTCGTTTTTAGATCACTATTTACTCAAATTTAGCTTATAATCACCCTCCCAAGTACTGACCGGGCCCGACATTGCTTAAATTCGGTGATCGGACGAGAACCGGTGTTTTCAATGTGATAATATTTATAATTTATAATATAATATAATTTATAATATAATATAATTATATAATATAATATATACTTATATAATTATATAATATAATATAATTTATATAAAACAAATTGATAATGATAATTTAAAGAATCTTAACAATAAACAACTTTGTTTTTCAAACAAAAATATTTTAGTTATAAACATCTAAATTGAGGCCACTAATGAATAATGAGAAAAGAATATTTGGATACGTATTTACATATTTTCAAAGGTTTTGTACCGGCTACAAGAAAATAACGACAATAGATTTATATTATTTATATAATAATGTAAAGCGGTGCAAACTGGCGTACGAATTCTGAATTTGTTATAGAAAATATTTTAAAAAATAAAATAAAATATTCTTTTTATGACATACATATCTTTTTAAAGCATATAAATAATCAATTTCCATCTATCGATGAAATCTGTAACACTTAAATTTACGGTAAATTTGTTTCTTTCTAATAACTTCATCAAACTGTAGAGATAATATTCAATGATATTATTGAAAAATATATATTGCTAGTAAATTTAATTGTTACAGATTTTATATATATATTTCATATTTGTCATTTCAAATGTACTATACACTTACTATATTTAGAGGTTTGTATTAAGGAATCATACTGATATATGGATTTTTAATATTATACTCTTTTAGAGATATTAGAGATATTTGATTGGTTATACTACTGGTGATTAGATACTTGGTGATATTACTTTGTAAATGATAGATTTTAGCATTTATAGAATAATTCAATTTTATTATATTGACACATTTTAGATTTAAATATTGTTAAAATGTTCCGTTTTCCCCGTCACATATATGCGGTAATGTTCTAGTTTAAAATTAGAGATGAATAGTACCTGCTGTTAGATTACCAGAAGATTGATTTTCTTATTATTGAATACCTCTGTAAAGTATGTAAGAGAGATCTTCATAAACGAAGAATACTAGATTAAGAAGGAACATAGAATAATTATTTTTATTTGAGATAAGTTTTTTACACTTTTTTAGCTAGCGTGGTGGTCACCAAATTCTTGTTGTCCGTGACTCCAGGTGTCTTATTTCCACGCGGAAAAGTTCTTAGCATTTAAAGAAAACAGCTGGGTTAAACCTAAAATACGTTTTTTTACTCCAGAAATGTAAGAATGAGATTAAAATTTATGTGTGTCACATACACACACACAAAGAGATAACAAAATAATTGATAAAACATTAAACAAAGTATATTAAACGTTAATTATATAAATCTATTAGGCTAAATACTGTTATTCTAAATGTGTTTTGTGTGTTTGTGTTAAAAGACAAAAATGAATTTTAAAAAATTAATTTACTTTAGTTCTATGAATGTTAAATTTGAATTTTTGATGGTACATTTATCTTATTAAATCCAAATTTACTTGTATATTATATGTATTAGCATAACAGCTCTCTGTTAAAGTTAAACACTAAACCAAAATATACAATAATTATCAATAAAATAAACAATTTAGTTCGAATCATACGATTCGATTCGCAATTCGCAATCGCACGATTCGAAAATATTTTCATAAGAGCTGTTTCCTTGTTTTCTATTTTGGTCTATTATATAAAAGTAGTTTATTTAATTTTGGAGAGTGAAAAATATTTTTATCAAGTCTATTTCATAACGCATTTAACGTGATTTTTTGCCATTACGTAGGGATTTCTATATTTGATTTAATTTAAAATCGCTAGCGCTTGGTTGTTAAATATAATGTTTTATGTGACAATTATCTTAACTATAGTATGAACATGTATATTAGTATATTAAATTTAATTGCCATCTATCGTTAAATTTTTACACAAATAAATTAACTGACAATGCGTTTCTTTTAAATATAATCAAATATTATCTCTACAGACCTTACTTCAATGATATGAGTTATTGAATGAGAGGGCTTGGCTCATCAGTAGTGAACCCTCTCAGCGGTTTCGCCAAATTAATCTCTATTGGATTGGTTTGGAATATACCCTGTATTTTCTATGGAAGGCAGCTTAGGAGTGTTTAGTGAACTATGGACATGAGCTTATAGGTCTGTAGAGGAACATACATATAATTTCAAGGTATTGCATCGAGTAAAGCTCTTCCGCAAAATATGTTTTCATAACAAATGTATATTAGTAAATTAAATTCAATTGCTATCTATCGTTAATATTTTTATGTTATAAATTAGTATAAAATTGAAATTGTATTGCTATATGATGGAAAAATTGAGAAAAGGACATCTCCTGAACGTGAAACTGAAAGTTGCCGACGGCTAGCACCATCTTTCGGGGTGAGTAAATATTAACTAATAAAACAATAATTATAGATAAAGAATTCTTCCTGGATTGAAATTAGACGTAAAACACGGTGACGAGTTTCTATTATTGACGAATAGGTGCAAGCTTTCGGATAAAAACCCTTCGACAGGCGAGCGCGACTTGTAAGAAACACGTCTTCCTTCACCGTGTTTTTCGTCTAAAACAATAATTAAAAATGAAAAAAAATAATAGTTAATATTTATTCCGACAGATGGCGTGAGTCATCAGCTACTCTTAGTAGAACGATCAGGATATGCTTCTCTCTTAATAGTTTAATATGTTGAGATATAGGAATTCCATGATATGGAATAGAAAGAGAAATATAACATTAATTAACCTATATATTGAATAAATAGAAGATTCTTTCAGGGGTAAGCTTCTAAACATCAGTTTTATTATTAAAAGAAATCTCAATCTCTCTCTCTGCTCTCTGTGGGAAAGAACTCTCGCAGTCCACCGGTGGCGGAGTCTTTCCCGCGGTTGGCACCACCAATGAAGACCTTGTATATATTTATATATCAAAAATAAAAAAGGCATCTCCTGACCACGAGCACATGTGCTTTTTAGATGGCAGAGCGCCATCTAGTGGAGCAAAAATAAACTAAACGTTTATTTAGCTTTCTCCGTGATATTTGCCATTGATTTATCAAGAAATTGGGTTGGCCAAATATCACGGAGCAAGCTAAATAAACGTTTAGTTTATTTTTGTTCCACTAGATGGCGCTCTGCCATCTAAAAAGCACATGTGCTCGTGGTCAGGAGATGCCTTTTTTATTTTTAATATCAACACCTGACCCACTTATCTTTTATTTTTTTCTATTGTTTTTTCATATTTATATATATATATATATATATATATTATATTTAATAAAGATTTCCTGCTGATTTTGGATTATTTTGATTTTGGTTACTTGAGGATTAAGCTATGGTGGTGCAGTTGTGGGAATAATAATAAAAATGGTTTTGTTCAGAGGTTGCTTTAATTGAGCTAAGGAATATATAAAAGACATAATTTGGTAAAGGTAATGCCTGGCTTAAGGCGATTAGAACAAGGAAAAACAAAAGATTATTCAAATAATGTACAAAGTATTTGAGCCGGCCATCGGGGAAGAACAACAACGAGTTTATATATGCAAAGCGTGACCTCTGGCGGTCGATTTAACAGAATATTTGAATCTATGATATATAATTTTATATAAAATAATATTTTTATATAACATGTATATTTATCAATTATTATTTATCTATTTATTCATATCTTTATCATTATATAATCATATTTATTCATATTTATATTGTATTTAACCTTATATAATCTTATATGAGCATCGATATAAAGTAGTTTTGATCTCTCTTCTCTCTCTCTCTCTCTCTTTCTGGCTTATTTGCCCATCTACCGGAGTAACACGGTTTTTACTCTCATAGAAGGTCTGATCAGTCCAAAGCTTGAGTTCTTGCAATAATAAAAACTGATCTCGGATGGATCTTCGATTTAATTTTTAAGCACAATTGATTAATATCTATTAACCTCTACATATGCGAAAAGCAATTAGACTCTAAATAAATACAAGTGTGTCAAAACTCCCTTTGGTTATTTGTACACTGATGGAATTTGGGTTTCAAGAATCGGGAGCTATTTTAGCAATTTTTATACAGAAAAAATCGCTGTGTGGGATTCATTCTCAGGTTTTGTCTGTTAAAATTCGATGGTTTATAACATTCATATACCGACCTCTTTCATTGTGATATATTCATTATAAAAGAGAATTAACCATGAATTTGACATTATTGATTAATAAGTCATAAATATCCAACGATTTATGTATTCATTAGGGTGAATTAAAAATTGATTAAAATTTACATATCAAAGCGTTAAGAGTAAATTATACAATTTATTATGCAGTACTTATATATAAGAAAGATAATGGGGGGTCGGTGGAAGGATGGTCTAAACCGTTGGATTACGATCGCTACGACCCGGGTTCGATTCCCGCATTGGCTATTTTTTCTGATATAAAGAAAAAAATCTCCAATGGCCCCCGATTCTTGCAAAAGTCCAACCACACGGTGCTCTGCCACATTTGTAAGTGCAAAGTCTAACTGCTTTTCACATGTGCAGACATGTGGTGCACTTACAGTAGAAGCAGTCGCCTTCTACCCACCATGATTATCATGGCCTGTACCATGTGTACTAGGGATAAGCAAAAAACATAAAATAAGAAGGATATTTGTAATATATATTAGTAAATTGTATATATTCCTTTCTCTATCCCTAAAATCCAGGTGATCGTTCTCTGGTTTGGTTATGTTCATTTTTCATGAGTGTTTATGCATATCTATCGTATAATAACTCTCTTTGTAAATATTCAAAAATATGTATACAAATGTATTTTCATTTTTTAAATATCCACCATTTATTTATACATTTATGTTAATTTATATAAAGAGATGTAACTCAGGCCTTATTAAGCGCAAGTGTTCTTTGAAAGATATGCCGATTTTAGTTGAAATGAATATCTACATATATAATATACAAGTTTGCTTTTATCTAAATTTGAAAAGTCTCGTTTTGTGGATATTAATTTATCATCACCTGGTATTCTGCAGAGGGAAGATATATAAGATGCTTTATTCCTGATAAAATTGTGAAAAGGTTGTGA